TTCCGCTACTTTGTAATTGTTAACAGTAAAGAAAGGAAAATGGATATTGGAGGGTGTTATAGGTTCCCTCCAGTTTCGCCAGTTGGAATCAAAGTTTGTCATACCTGTACCTTCAAGGTAATTTGCATGATCCAACAGCCCATGCAAGTCACCCCAAAGGTACAGGTTCAATATTTCATTACATTACTTCTGAATAGATCTTGGAGTATGAAGCTTAACATATGTGGGTGGGAGCCTACACTGCATACTGGGCCAGTGCTTCTGGCCGGTTAATAGTAGAATCCAGGATGACTCATTATTCTTACCGTAATGCTACTGTTGCTTCCCAGTACTACTTCGCAATTAATACAAGTAATTTTAGAGCATGTTACGGCTCCCATGGTGTGAAGCAGCATGAGAGTACGGTAGGACTTTCGGTCCGCACTCAATTTGTTCGTCCTTGCAGACGTCCACGTCTTTTGCCGCATTGCCCTTTGCATCATTTAATGGTTTGGAAATCCTATAAAAGGGGTACTATGAGCGTGGAAACTGGGACTGAGAGTGAACCTCCCACCTTCAATGACCTGTGACATCGTGAAGTGGGCATACCGTGATTGAGCCACGAAAACCACACTGTACGATACTTCTGAAAAGAAATAGTAAATTTGTGGACGATCAGATGATCACTGACCATTCGTTTCCTCAGTGAATTTTTTTCTAATATTTTTTTGCCTGAACTAGGGGCGTCATTAATCTAATTTTATTGCGCTCCTGAACCATTCATTTAAGACGGTACGATAGACAACTGTGCAATCACAGACTTTCTAGCAATTATCAGAAAATTGGGAAGGAATGATTGTACAAAATGGAATAGAATAGTTTTTTGTCGTGGGAGGTTTCCACTGGCATGACCTTCCCTCTCATATCATCTACCAGATGCTACCATTCCCAGATAGTTCCTAACTCTAACAGGAGAATCAAGGTAATTACTGTGTAGATGGTACTTGATGAGGTGTGGAGATCTGTTAAGGGTTGGTAGAAGTACTTAAGGTGTGTCCCCAAGTCCTAAATCTATGTCTCCCGGGGTGCTATGGCACGGCAGGTGGCGTTGACCCGAACGTCGAGACATGAGATGAAAGACCACAAAAGCACAGACAACCCGCACCATAGATGGGAATCACGTGCTTCTCCAACAACACGTAAATGTCTCCATGGCCTCTTTGACGACGATGGGAACCGGCATCTGATGAGCAATCTGACTGATGGAGCGTTTGAATGCCAGTTCGAAGCGCATCAGGAACGACGAGACCCACAGAAAATAATCGTCCCCGGAGAACCCTCTTCAACGTTTTGGGAAAAGCGACATCCCATAGGGACCTGAAATTTTGTAACTGCAGCATGAGATATCGATTTTTGAAGAACGTGGTGGATTGGCGCAGAAATAGTGGGTGGAGCACATCAGCTGTCAGAACGCCTCCTATTGATATAAACCGTCAAAACCGAATTAAATTGAGCGGAATTCATAGAAGAGGGTCCCAACCAAGATATACTATCTGATTCCTATCTTTAGGTCCTAGTTGCCTCCAAAAGTCCACGGGGCTGACTTTCAAATCCAGTAAAAGTCACGATTTGAGCTATCTGATGAAAACTTTACACACCCAATCAATGGTAGTTTTTGATCCCACTTCGAGACAAGAGTACGTGTGCTCTCTGAACGATTGCAATCGACTTGTAGAGGCCCAGTTAAACGGCAGCAATCGAATTGCAAAGAGTTTGATTTCGTGTGATCGCCACAGTCAGCTCTCCCCAACGCCATCTCAACCCACTGGCCCTTAAGTTCCCGAACTTCTCGACCATGTAACTCTACCAAGTTACGTGGCCACAATTACCTGACCGGATTGTGACGTCACTTGTTGACAGGTCGTGCGGTATGTAATAAACAATGCCTCGGATTACGGTATCGTGCCCGAGGTCAGCGAGATTGCACATTTGTGCACATCTACCCGGCATACCCCTACGAAATACTTCATACGGTGCCAAGTAACCTGATCCAGTTGTTGAGTAGTCCTTATAGGTGATATCAGGGCGTTAAAAAGTCCAAAAAGGATAGGATGGGGTCAAGACACCGGATATGCGCTAAGACAGCGGACTGGCGTCGATCGTTGACTGTTCATGATCTGCCTTTTGTTGGCGTCACTTTAGCCCTGTCGCTCGCGGTGCTGCAATGACAAGGTGAGTCGAGATTATTTCAGTTTTCTTGAGTTTTGGCGGATGGTTCCCAATTTATTTCCTGTGCAGGGCCCCTGGGATAGGGTATACTTGTCCACAGCTGACAGGTAGGCACAATGATTTGGCGCAATTGGGGATTTATTGACAACTATTGTGAACATAGTATGTTGTGCCCTGTGATGAGATCTATTTGATGGCAATTTTGTCGTTTATTCGCTAACGGTCCATTCAAAGGTATTGTGTTCTTCTCGCGCTTTATGCACTTTATTTCGTACACAGTACCGACTACAGCTTGCGTTCAGCACAACTTCCGTCCCAGTCATTTGCCCTTGTGTTTATTCCTGACAAAGTAGGCAAACACCATTTACGAAACGGTCTCCCAATTGCCACTTATGCATATGATCAGCCGAGGGGCGTCGCTTGTGTTGTTTCCGCAGATGCAGGGAATTTTCCAAAAAGTCGAGCGTTCATAGTTGGCGTCAAGCCACTTCTTTAAGAGCGTTTTTTCCGTACAAGAAAAGGAACAATGTCTGGTATAAAGAGACTGCGAAGCCTGATCCACTGAGCTAAACGTAGACGCTACCACGTTCAAACTTCCCTTGAAATTAAGCTATAGTTTCAAATGAAATTGATTGGAAATAGAGCATTCTGTTTTTTTTTATCGAACAACTATGAACGTTGTACTTTAAAGGCAAATCAAACCCTCTATGCCGCTAAATGTTGTTGCATAGCTGATGTTAGGCAGTCGAAATATAGTCTTTATGATTTACTACGGTTATTACGGGTACGTTATCCCCTTCCAACATTGTGAGGTGCTTCGCCTAATAGCAGAGTTAAGGAAGCATGCAAACCGTATTAATTAGGTCCTTAATCGTGGATACCGTATTTATTAGGTCCTTAATTTGTCCCCACCAAGAACAACATGATGTCCTGAACCAATTTTTAGGCGACCTTGGCGGGTACAGGTACTCAGGCGCATTAGTACTCTTGTTGTACTTTTAACAAAGAGCGTTACGGTAGTTACTGAACTCGGAATGTTTTTGAAGAGAGTCCTACCGTATCTAGTATCTAGATTTATTTCTATAGGTTTGTTGTGTTGTGTTAATATTGAGTTGTCGATGTTAGGCATACCATTCTGGGAAGTGGCCATGCCTATGCGACTCCCTTCACTGAATTTTGCTCCTGAAGCTTTCAAAATGGGGTTTCCTTGTTAAGGGGAGAAGAGGGGGGAGGGGGGGAGGGAAGGTGTGGTGGGAAGAGTATTCGACCGCCCAAGCACATGTGATCTTTTGATTTATTGATTGTAAATATCAATACTTTCGTTTACCTCTCCACCAAATACAACCCTTACCCCTTCCCAAATCACTGAATATGATCATGCTCCCCTTTTATCAGAACACACTTGGATGTTGAGGTATTGCTATGACAGATCCGCGAAACAAAGTCCCCAGGCTTCCATATTATGAGTTATTTGCATTTATTGTACGGATATCGAAAATACTGTTGTGAGGGCACGGGAAAATGCGGGAAAAGCCGTCCATGCTAAGTGATAGATTGGTTATTATTTCTGATTGGTTATGAGGACCGTAGCATTGTAGTTGTTTCAACAGGAAAAATCTTTGCCAATAGTTTTGTTGGCAAAGATATTAGCCAACAATTTGTTCTTTCCTTCTGCTTCAAAAATGGGTCTCATTTTAACAAGCAGGGTGTTGAAGGTTATATTACTTGCTTGAAAATCCTGAAAGCTCCTTTGCTCCCAGAAACCTAAAAATAATTGAAGAATCAAAACTTGTAAGTAGCTTTAATTCACAACTGAATCAACATGTTTTGTTGCCAATATCATTTGAAATTACACAATGTAGCTTTTGAGATTGAAGAGTTCGAAGAGTAACGGAGAGGGGCAGAGGGCGGGCCAAGAAAGGCTGCCGTTGTCCCGCCCCCTGAACCCGTACTGTTGCGCGCACTACCATTCCTAATTCGTGCCACTTCCTCATGTGGCGTCGTCAAGGTTTCAAGCCGTTTGCACACAATTGTTCTTAGCATACCGTAACCTGATTGAGGTCCACATTTGTTCAGTAGCGCTGTATATGTCCACCAATGTAATAACATCTCAACTTCCATGTACCTTTACTCTAAATAGTGAGTTTAAGCCTTATCCCCTCCAGTTGAGAGTTTCGGATAGCGGGCAAAAGCGACAGTTGGATTAGCGACACACTTGGTTTGCCTTGAAAAGAATTCCCCTCCAGTACAGCATTAGATATTTGTTCTCAAAGCAAAAATTTGGAGTCAAGTAAGGGTTCGGTTAATAAAGGGGTGAACTATTGAGTGTAATGTCATGGTTTCGAAGAATAAATGCGCATACTGTTTCAAACTTTGACTTTCTCGGAACAAAGTAGTAATATTTTGTTCCTTCCTTGTGAGTTTTAAGATTCCTTAGAGCCTGTAAAGCTGCTGAGCATATGTCTCTCAGATGTCTATTACTTACACAGGTGATTTTAAGCTTCTCTTTCACGTCGTATACTTTCCTGCATCGTTGTACGAACTTCTTGAGTGTCTGTGAAGATATGTTTTGATAGACGTCTCCTAAACAGATTGCCTGATTAGTCAGAAACACCCGAAAATGTCAAGACATCTCATCACATACGAGATTAGTGACACAAGAGGGGTACGATCGGAGGCGGAGCCTAATCGGTGTGAATCGTTTCAGTCGTGGTGCCGATCGGAGTTGATCTGTCTCTACTGCTACTGCCATTGCTGTTGCTGGTGTGTTCGTGTCGACAAGACAAGGAGCAATGATGATGACAACCGCTGACGAGCTGGCTTCGTCGCTTCGATGTGCCGAGTTCCTTGCCGATTCACCATCCACGTCCACATTACTCCATCACCATGTCGGTACCGTGACCAACAGTCTGCATCATAACGAACATCGACGTCGCTCTGGCCGAATCGTACTTCAAGCGGTCAACCAACGACGTCTCAGTCATGGACAGGTACTTTTCGTTCAATAAATTCATGCTTATTTTTCATTTCATTGCTGTTCATGATCCCATCACATTTTTTGTGGTCTCTTCTCTTTGCTCATCAAAACACTAACATCTTCGGACTTGAAGTGTCTTGAGGCTCATTCATCGAGGTTTAAGCGGGCAATCTTACAACTTCCCCATCCAACATCAGCAGGAACAAATGTAATTCTTTGTTAAGTTGTAGGTTTAGCTGCGAATGTGTCCCATAGTTTTACCTCGTTTCGCATCCTTTTCCGCTGGTGTCCTATCGGCTCACACCGCGTCCAAGGTTTCTCTTTGTTCGTGGCGCGTTCTCCACGACTTACATCATATGCGCGCCAGATGTTGCTTTGCTGTGTGTGTCATCTCTGTTTCTTTATGTTATGACTCGTAACCCACGTTACCTAGTTGTCAATGGGTTCGTTATGAGGAAACTCCACATTACTACAGCCGCTGCTATCGTCCCTACGACCCCGATCCCTGCCCCGCTTACCTTCTGCTTTTGGTCTTTTGAACAGCTTGAGAGGAATTTCTCATCGTGGCCCACTCGTTTTTCTTCGCAGTCGTAGCCGCTCCTGCACTTTGGTGACCCGCCTCCATATTGCTCGGCTCTTCGAAGCCATCGCGCTATCGCTGATGTCGTTAGCAGCGGAAAAAACAGGCCCTAATGCTGAGATGATGATCAGACAAGTTGGTTTGAAAGTTAAAACTTAAGCAATGGCTTGTGCTCATCTGCGATTGAGCTTAGATGACCTCTGCCAGGTGCACGGGTGCGCTTGTTTGCTGGCTGCTGTTGCTGGGCTAGAGCCTCCATCGCGTTCCACCGGTTCCGACGCTAATTACGCATTGTCAGCAGGAGATCGTCCGTAGATTTTCGACATTGATACGCTTACTCAGCTATTGATTCTGGACCTTGAGAAAGGAAAACTTGCGAAGAAACTTGGGTCATAAAGACAATAACAGTACTTTGTGTTTGTGTAGGTCTATTTCAACAGAAATAGTACTTGGAGAAAAACCATCGACTCGTGGCTGTGCGAAAAGTGATATGGTTTTGTTCAGCCAACCGTAATTTCCCGTAAGCGGCCGTCCACAGTTGATGTTCGCCTGAATACAGCCCAGCGACCATCGGTTCCAAGCTGCCTCGATCGCTCAATTCATCGAGATGAACGTGTTCTTGAGAACTTGCTTATTGCGGAGGTAATTATCATCACTGTAGTCATCTATACTCTTTTATCCTTACTGCATATGTTCAGGAAAATCTCAAATCAAATCATCTGTACTTCACCGCTGTCCAGGAGCATATTGAGCCAATACATCGCGAACAGGCGGTGGAATGGATATTTGATGTGGCAAAGGTGAGAGCTTGAAGTGATTTAGTTGCAATATGTTCAATAATAAGCTGTGATTTTGTAGGAGGAGAAATGTGACGCGGATGTCTTCCCGCTGGCAGTCTCCCTCATTGATCGCTTTCTCTCTCTACAGAACATATTCCGACAAGATATTCAGGTCAGTTAATTTTGTTCCCGTAGTTCTTTGAGTGGCCATAACGCGATAGCTATACTTACTCCGATAATTATAGGTCTTAGCTGGTGTGTGTTTATTTATCGCTAGCAAGGTGAAGGCGCCGCAACCAATGAATGCAGCACGTGTGTCGTACTACACAGCGGACAGCGTCAAAGTTCATGATGTTTTGGTGCGTTCGCATTCTAAGTGCTTATATGCATCACTGATTAACATCGCAGCTGCATGAATGTTGGCTTATTTTTCAGAGTTGGGAACTGCTAGTGCTGGCACATCTCAATTGGGAGATCACATCGCCCACTGGATTTGATTTCTTCGACCATCTCTCCGCTCGTCTGCCATCGCTGCACACGCTGCGACCGGCGTTCACATCAGTTCTGCACAGGATTCAGCGCTGTGAGTTGTTGTTCTACAGCTTACATTAGCCTCCCTTTGATAGAGTGAACTCTCGGGCGATGCTGGTAGGGGCGTTCATCTTGCAACATATGTGCTTTCTCACTCGTCTGCCCTCTTGCCTAATCTGGAAATTGTCGTCGCGGTCCTCTTAAATCGGATCCTCTGTCGCTTTGTCTTTGACAACGTGGGTGGTCTTGACGCTCATTGTCGAAGCTGATCTGCTCTTGCTTACAAACAGGTTGAGACGATTCAAACTCCTGAAAATGGCAGGATTTTTTAAAGTTGTTTTTTATGGGCAGAACACTTTGTTTGCTCTCAGTTTACTACCCAGAAAAGCATCTGTTGAAACACCGCGAAGTCAGTAGCGGTGACCTGCTACGACCACCTGTGGAGCGCGTCGCAATGTGCTGGCGTTATGATGCGAATGATTGGGACAGTGGCATGCTGGCACGTCCTCGGCCACCACATGCACATGCCCCATTGCGTCTTCGGTTGGTGTTTGTCGACGCGATCCTTGGCGACCTGGCACGCCGTCGTCTTCAGTGGTGTGACCTCCCATCATGCACAATCATTGTCATCAGCAGTGAATGTTGCACTTGGCACCACTGAACCGATGCCCCTCGCGCACTGAGCAAGAGTGCTATGGAACGAACGCAACGGCCGCTAAATTCCGTCGATTGTCCTCTATTCAGTGTCGGTCGTTGGCTGGTGGGGTGGCCGTTAACGTCTCGTCTTGTGTCCTTTGCGACGGAATTGGATGAGGTGACTTGAGGTGAACAAGTTATCGAATCCGTGTCAAACTTGCACGCGTCGATGGTGCCTCATCTGCATCACAATGTCTACCACTGCTAGACCACACACATCGACTTGATGTCGCACCGCGCCTTCCCCATCCACTTTTATGGCCAAGTAGAACTCGACCGAACAGCATAGGTGGTCTACGAGGCGAAAAGAATGCATGGGAGCATTTCCAAAGACTTCATTGATATGGGTAAATGTTCCTAATTGATCGACTGGGTTTCATAGGCTGGCAAAGAAGACCAATGGCGGCCTTTGTCTGGTTAGTGATGCCCTTTTTCGGCAGAGCATTCCAGCGGAGTAAGGACTGGAGGTCAGTGAGTCGACTAACAAGAAAGCGGCACGTCTGTTCACATGCCCTGGGGTAGGGTATCTGGCCGATGTGGGCAGTTTAGAGCTGCTTCGAATGTGATGGATGCGTTAGAATTTACCGTTTTCAATAGTACAACTGATTCTACCGTAGTACATCACTGAAGAAGCGATTGTAAATGTAAGACGTAGTTTTTCTTGGCGCTTAGTTTTTTGGACAGTTCGGCTTCTAGCTTACGCGCATTTTTTGACTGGTTTCGGCGCTCTGCGATTTTGGTTGTCGGTTGTGTCGGCGCCACGAAGCAAAGGAGAATTGTGGCCGACCGACGCGTTTTTTTCGACTCGCCCCATTCACTATTTGAGGCACGTTCTCGTACCTTTTTTGGTACTACTCCTATGTATGTGATAGTGTTTTGGGATGGGAACTCGGGCCGCTTCATCCCCATGTCAATCATCGTCAATTATGAAAAAGCAGCCCAGAAAGACAGTAATCGGTCATTAATGTGGACGAGATTGTCACCGCATATTCTACTTGTGTACAATAGATTTAGGACGCACCACCTGCTCTGTGGAATGAGGTCGTGGGGTTCATGGACTGAACTGGTAGACATTATGACGGTCTACTGTCGAAGACGTACAGTAGTAACGCGCCTAATTAGAGATGCTATCTGACGTAGTTATTAGAGGTTTACGGTCAGAAGACGCCAAACGCCGCCACACAGCTGTTGGCAGTAACGGTAAGCTGGCCGAAGCGTTCAAAACCTGTCGCATCGCTATACGTTGGATGATACGTAATTGCCGAAGAGCAGCAGGAATGAGATGATGGCCGAAGGTCTTCGTTCCTTCGTTGATGCGTCGTGTCAACGCGGGTATCGATACCGCATTTGAGGAGGCTAAAGCGAGTAGTGACAGGTTGGCGCCGACATAGGACAGATTCAAAATGGTACGTTACGGTAGCGCCCAGAACGGAGTTCGTTGGATAAACTGTGGTTCTCAGCCCTACCTGAATTAAATGACTGAGCAGTAATCTACATTTGAAGCTTAGTCAGGCATCTGTTCTAGGTAGGGTATCCAGAGTTCTGTTGTCCATCTCGGATGATAGTCCCGAAAATTACCTTCCATGCTGTAATACAATTGACTTGAGCCGAATTTGAACCTAATATTACGGCTTAGTGGCCTGGTTACCCCAAATATCCTAATATAGTCTGAATAAGTTTGTGATGCATAAGTTGGAATTGATGTAAAAGCGATGCCGACGACGACCTTCGCTTATGCAGTCGTGTTGGTGTTATCTTTTTTCATCGGAAACTCAGCATCGGCGCAACCTTGTCCGCTGCTGCGCCTCTCAACGTTACCTCTCGGTGGCACGTCGTTAACACTGTGCACACTTGGAATTAATCGTTGTTGCGAGATCGCTATCGCCCATGATGTGAAGCGCGAAACGCTTAGGTTCTGTAGGTTGATACACGCGTACAGTGTGATGATTAGTAGTTCCGCATTGGTCGAGTACGAACTTGAAATTAATGGCCATTGACTTTGTCTGACCTCTGATTGTCTTTGTGTGGGCTCAGTATCCTTTCAAATATTCGTGCCAGCACGTACAAGACAATTTCCCGGACCCACATCAAAGGCATCAACGGATCAAGTTTATGTCCGCTTACTTGTAGTGCATTAAAGGTGCAGTTCGTAGGTAGTAGTCGTGCAGGCTCTGGCTTAGTGTGGCTTCCATTTATCTAAAGTCGCGAATGGCGAAGGAACTCCCACTGCGAGTGCAGTTTATCACCTCAGACAGACTTTTCGCGTTCGAATAAACAAATGTACGGTGTGAAACAGTTGCTGACCTGGGCAGTTTAAATTAACTGCCAAGTAGATCCCTCTGTGTCCTGTCCACTGTTTAGTTAATGGCCGGAGAGGTCGCCTGTGGTGTGGTCTCCAAAGGTTTGGGGTCCGATTGTGAGGTGCGAAGATGTTATTGGGGACGGTAGGATCACCCGAGATCAAAAAGAATATGGGAATGGATGGGACCGGGATTTATGACATAAGTTTGTGTCCCATGACCTCATGCTAACATGCAATTCAAGGATTGCTGGGAAATGAAGTAAGTTGAAGCGAATGTCAGGTTTTACTCGTCTCCTTTGAGATCAGGGAGCTCATATCAAGTTCTTTATGGAGACTCTGCTGATGCCAACCATTGAGGCCATAATCAATTTTGCAAGTGCATTATGGTTTGCTTACTTAGGCTTACTTAAGTAGGTTAATGTACAGAAGTTTGAACACAACGGGGACTTTGCGTAAGTCAATGTAACCCGAGATATTTGTGCATGTGCTGCTGCCTTCCACCATCTCATCAATCACTCTCATCTGCTGAAGCGCGTAAGCGGCAAATGTGCCTTTTGTGATGATGTTTGCGTTGAAGCTTCCGAGATGGTTGTTTAGGTTACGTGCGAGTAGTGGGAACGCAAGCGCCTAATGCATAAACATGAGTTTTGGTGTGATTGCGGACTGAAGACATCGGCAGCGGCGGAAATCGGCGCTCCAACGACTGGGAAAGTCTGGAAAACGCTTGTTTTCGACTGCCCTCGTTACATTTACGGGGCAAAGGCGTCAATCAGTTCCTGTGTGTGCATGTGGATTTACGCAGCTGAATCGGCGGGAATCGTATTTGGAGGGAACCCCGCGGTGTCGGACAGCTGTTGCTGGTGGGATTCGCGCATCGCGAAACCGCTATCGTGCACATGGTGTCCGTCTGGCTCGATCTCGTTGAGTTCATTGGCCTCAATAGGCAATGTTTGCCTGGGATATCCAGGGGAAAATGATTTAAGTGTTCACCCATGAAGAGGCCTACCGTATATGGAAGTTGTCTCTCATCATAGGTGTCTTATCAAACGACTGAATTACGGTATCGCCGACGGATCTGTGTATTCGTCGCTCCAGCTGATCCGCATCGGAAGTGTGTTTTATCGACGGCGGATAAGTCGGAGCGGCGGCGCGTGCCGTCAGATATGGTCGTCTTGATTTACAGAGTGCCTGCAACAACCGAATCGGGACAAAATCGGCGCTCTCTGTGTGTATCGATGTCGCCCTTATTGGATGTTCATCATTGGATGTAGTGACACGTGTATGACATTAAATCATATCGCTGAGCCGCTTGTTGGAAAGCTGTTGTCGGCACGGCGACACCTTTTGAGCTTACCGCTACGCCGAAAGAGAGAGTTTCCATAAAATTCGAAGTTCCGTCGATGAGTCATCGCTCAAAGGAGTGAGTCGGACTCTCTCCGAATCACGAGGTTGCTCAGACACAGATGTCGATTCTTTCCATATAATTCCATAATGAGGAGTCTGTGACGGGTCTACAGGGTGACAGGCGTTCGTCCAGCACCGTCGCAGAACTCATCACCTTGTTGTTGGACGGGAACACAGATTGTTTTGAAAGAATTCAAACGATAGGAGGACTCGAGTTGAAGCTTCGGGCGAAAGCAGCTTGCATAGTCGCTATAACAGTGGGGGACCAGAGTTTGTCAGTAAGGTAGATCTTTCGACATGATTGCTGTTTTCGAAGTCGTAGCTTACGGTACTTCTCCACCTTTCGTTGGTGTAACTGCCTTGGTGCGCTTTTCTTTGTTGGCTTGAACGTAATTGGCTTGTGCGCGTCTTTTTCGCTATTTACCGAATCGAATGACGGCGTTTTTCGTCGTAAGGTTAGATCGAGTAGGGTGCTGCATTACGCAACGTGTGGTCAGTGGCGCTGTGAGGTCACCATCCAACAAAGACTCGTGCTATCTGGTACGATAACGATCACAGATGGTGGCATGGTGGTGAAGGCGGGTAGAGGTGGATTAGGTGCTAAGAGATTCTTTCGGTAGACTTTTGGTTTCGGAAATAACCAGGGTACTGTAGCCTTCTGTAATGTTGAGACATTTGAAATGGTTTCCGGAACCACCTAAATGATGCGCATGAACGATGATGATGACGGTGTCGATCATTATTTATCGAGACGTGACAGCATAGCTTCACATTAGGCATGAGGTCTGCTATTAATGAGGTACTGTCTCTGTTGCCACGGAGGTTTTGAAATTCTCAAGAGGATAGAGCTACTTCGAATTGAGTAGGTTCCAATCCAAGCAGGAGTGGAACGCGCTGGAAGACGTTGGCAGTTAAGTGGAGACTCTCATTCTAGAAAAATGCTTGCGTTTAATCTGCGTAAACGGGTCTTCCGTTATGGATTGGTTATATGTTGCGATACCGGCCAAGATACGATCTTTGCTCAATGCAACAGCTAGCTGCTACGTCACCGAATCGTCGTTTCAGTCGTGGTTGTTGTGGCGAAACATTGACAGCCCCTAAATGAAGAAGTATGTAAAATAGTATATACCATTACATTTCAGGTCACAAGTTAGCTACGCTGTTCCCGTCGATCCAATGCTGTTTAGCGCTGATGTACGCTGCTGAGCGATATGCTGATGCAAAATTGAGGGCAGACACTGAGAACATCATTGGAAGCACATTCCATCTACAGATGGTAAATTTTACGTCTTTCTTTTGTCATGTTGTAAACCTGAATGTTCTAGTGATAAGGACCAGATTAACTCTAAGAGTGCAATACATGTTTTTTAGAATTTGCTTCGATCCTACATAGCGATGTTGGAGCGAGTAGTGAGCGACTGCGGCATGTCACAACAATCCGCTCTGGTTGCACCATGCGAAGCCGAGTTAATGGCACAGTCACCAGGCGCCTGTGGTGCGAGATCATCATCGGAGCCAGCTACACCGCAAAATGATTCTGGGTTTTGTTCTGGAGTGAGCTCACCAGAATCATGCGGTAAGAAAGATCTCGAGTGTTCACCGCCAAAAATGGCAAGAATTGACTGAATGCGAACGGAAAAACTTATCCGTATGTGGGTGATTTCCATAATGATTTACATTCATCAATACCGTTTCGTTCGATGATCAGTCATCATGCTGTTCATTCATTTGTTATTTCTCATCGAATTCGATGCAATTCTAGCCCTTCTCCAAAACTAATTTCACCATGTTCTATAAATATTTTCTTTTGTCTAGAAACGTCAACATCGTACAAGTATGTTATAAGTCTTTTTTTTTGTTTAATTTATTATTTCACATAGCTGGCTTATTGTAGCCATTGCGGGTTTATGTATTTTCCATTTCCACTGCTTCATTTCATTTGAATTATGGTCAAGTGGAACATTTTTCATCGAGAAGTTTTCATATTACCTATTCCCCGCACTACTACCACGTCGTATCGGTTTGCTCTGTTTGTTGCCTTCGTTACACCCAAGTGGTTGATTTTTCACTTCATTATCTTGTACCATGCGCCATCATTTCACTCTACACGCTGTCGTCGTCGTGGCTTGTGGTAGCGTCCAGCTTGACTTAGCTTGATCCATTACCTTTTTGGATTTTTACTTTTCCGGTGTTTCTATGTACTGTGTGTACCTTTCTATAAACCAAATAACTTCTTGGTTCCTTACTCGTTGTCGTCGCTAAGTCGTAGGTAGTGCATGGCTCGACACAGGCGGTCGTTTATCTGACAGACAAGCGAGCGACGAGTGTCGTGGAGCGATGTCACTGCCATACGAGTAGCTTGTGATTAGTCAAAGATTTTGTCTTTGTTTATAAGTGTTTGTGTATGTCAAAGATTGCGTAATTGCTACTTTTTCGCCAGCTTTGTTGTGGGTAGTCGCCAAGTCGCGCGCGNATTGTAAATATGTGGATCTGTTTTACTCGGCAACGAATTCCATCCCCCAAGAGTTTGTATTCATATTGTGACTGCCGTCAGATATTGGGACAGTTTTGCTTGTTTCTGTAGGCACTGGTAGTCATGCCTTTCTCGTCAATATCGTATTAATCATCTCTTGTTCTTACTACGATTGTTTTATTTTATTAACTTTGTCAATAAACGTGTACTAATTATAATTTATGAGCTGAAATTGTTTGAATGGATGGTGTGAATCCTAAAATGGAATACCAAGTATCATGGAATTGGTGTCTGTTGAGCTGAAAACGAGAACGGAGGTAAAAGAGGTGACGGGAAGCTGTCAGGGAAGATGGATATGGTGGCTTCGCGTTTTCCATGTATAAATATTTTTGTAACTGAGCGCTTTTGAAAATTCACGATTACCTATTATTAGTTGATAAGAAGGTCGGTAAGGAGGGCAAAAATCTGTTACATCAAGGACAAAAAGTCGAATCGATGGTATGATGGTTAGTTGTTGTAATGTTCAGATGTAAATAAAGATAAATAACCATTCCATGAATGGTAAAGCAGTTATTTCAACCAAACCACGTTCTGCGTTTATAGAAAATCGGATGATCATTCAGCTTAACCAGCCCTTTTTGGATCAACCGATGCAGCCGGCACGAGTTGGATGATGTACTTCCCGGAAAGAAGTATGGGATCAATCAACCTGGCAACATCGAATCTTGTTTCTCAGTTGGGTGAGCGACTGTAGCTTTTGACGGTTTTTTTCGTCATAGGATCTCGAGAACCTCAAAGCAGAGTTGGAAGTGAAGTTGATATTTAAGGCAGGTTCTATATGATTGGAATAAAATCAGTCGCATCGTCAGATATTCAAATAATCAGTGCAAATTTCCTTCCCAAAAAATTGACTTTTCTCGTTTCTTTTTTTTCCAAAATAGAAAGCTACCCCGTTAATTCAATGAACTGGTTCTTTGATACTTTTTTTTCTTTTTTTCGCTGTATAGGCAAAACGTTTGAAAAAGTATTGGTAGATAAGGAGCGAATTTCTTGAATGTTTCTCGACTGCACCCTACTCATATTAACCATAGGGTTTAAACTAGGGATGTTTAACATCTGATAAAAATATGCAGGTTGTGCTTCTTATATTAGTTGCTCGGTGATTTTCTCACGGTGTTTCAGATGCAGATGTCCTTTCTTGGAATCCTGTTACAAAATCAGGAGCGCTGAAAAATCTGGAGCGCCGTTGGGAAGGAGACCAAAAATTGAATGGAAAGGTTTATCCAACGTGTGATTTTTAGAGTGCACAGCGAGTCTTGTCAGCTCGACTTCAACCAGACATTTGAAAAAAAGTATAAGTGTTGTGGATCAATTCCGTTATGGGATGCACCTCTGCATTTAACTTCCATTCAACAAAAGTAGCGGCGTTTGAGTGTGTATGCAGCATATGCAATGACTTATGGTGGCCAGCCAGGCTGCATAAGTCAGTACTCTTATCCTCCCAGACGAATCTGATACCATTCAGTCGGCCCTGTGGGATGGATGGTTAAGGGAGGTGGGAGGTAAAACGAGGGAAAGATAAAACCTATAGGTGTTGTGTTGTCGATCTCATTGGTTACAAACTTACTTGTCTGACCGAACGAGAACTGATGAACAAACAAGTTTAGAAATATCACCGATTTAGGTGGCAAAGAGTGAGATTCTTAATAACACCCAATATGTTATGAAACAAAAATGTAATATTTGTAGGAGTCGCTCACAAGGTGCAGCTCACCCGGCTGAAAATGGTCTTTTATCTAACGTAATGGTATGAATAAATAAATAAATAAATAATAAACAGAAATGGTTTTATTTTGGATCGTTAAAAAATGTTTTTCTCTTTTCCGAAGGCACAGTTCACAATAGTTTTGAGGTACCCGTTTTTATTCGAAAGGGAATAGTTCATCGGTAGTGAAGAAAGCGAGAGAATTCGCCATTTTCGAGAAAAATATGGCTTCTCAAAAATAGGGAAAATAGAGGTCGGACGAGATTTCACTTATTGCAATTGCACAAAGAGCTGACTACCTCAAGCCAGAACAGTACAGAAGTGTCTTTCAATGTCGCCATAGGTCATGAGAAGTTGTTTGAACTTCTTACATGGGTTCCCTTGTGATCAGTGCAGCCTCTATCATGCCAGTGAAACTCGTCCGAGGATACACACGAGCCAATCTTTGAGCCTTTATAACTACCTAACTGGGTTGTTTTCCNTTTATTTTGGATCGTTAAAAAATGTTTTTCTCTTTTCCAAAGGCACAGTTCACAATAGTTTTGAGGTACCCGTTTTTATTGGAAAGGGAATAGTCCATCGGTAGTGAAGAAAGTGAGAGAATTCGTCATTTTCGAGAAAAATATGGCTTCTCAAAAATAGGGAAAATAGAGGTCGGACGAGATTTCACTTATTGCAATTGCACAAAGAGCTGACTACCTCAAGCCAGAACAGTACAGAAGTGTCTTTCAATGTCGCCATAGGTCATGAGAAGTTGTTTGAACTTCTTACATGGGTTCCCTTGTGATCAGTGCAGCCTCTATCATGCCAGTGAAACTCGTCCGAGGATACACACGAGCCAATCTTTGAGCCTTTATAACTNGGAAACCATTTTTATCGTGAACTATGCCTTTAAGGTCTCTAGATGTACAACAGCTTTTTATTATGGAGCGATGCTCCTCAATGTTATCAGGTGATGATAGCAGTGCTATCGGAAGTTGTTATCTTTAGCAGTTCTCATCTTCATGAATATAGACCGCTGGCCGATCCATTCACAGATCATTGATGGCGTGATAAGTATTGTTGCTACTGATATCGTGATTCCACACTAGTCGCGAACCTGATGCGCAGTAGTCGCAACACCTGTTAGCAAGAAACTTAATGAATTTTGCTCATTTCGTGGTTTGCTTACTCCGATCGGTTCTTATCACTGCACTTATCGCTTTTTGCCAATCTACTTTTCCATTCCATCTCATTCTCTGGAACATGCATATTAAAGTGTCAAGGCTAAATCCTGAATACCAGAAAAGTTAGGAATCAGAAGGCTTATGCCTTACCAGGTTTCCTATCATCCTTTATCGATCGTTATCACTTTCTATAATCGGGATCGTTGTCCCTAAATCGGCATCAAGAAAAGAGGAATCAAGCTAGTAACTTTTGTATATCAACATCCGTTAACAGCTCTTATCAGTTGCTATCAATTCCTGTCACCAACTATCAATGATACCGTAGCCTCATCATCATCCATCGAAGTCTCAAAAATCTTCTGTCAACATGATGGGCGTGAAGGTTTAGCGGCTCTTGCCTTTTGCACTCTCTTTCCACTTTTCATCAGTGCTTCTAATTGCCGACTGTGTCCCTTCTGCTTCTGCATTGGGACCCTACAGATCCAAAATACCAGAGGCGAGCTCACCTTGTTTTAATATGCAAGCAGAGGAGGGTTCGGAATAACGCCGGAATTTCATACCGATTTCCGTGACTAGGTCACCCAAAGTGCCTAGTTCATGATGAGACGGGTGTATTATTTAAGAACTCCCTAGTGAACCTATCCCGGTGACGGGAAAGCTAGCCCTAAGATAACTTCGTACTCCCACCTCGGTCCCCTGCAGGCTATACCAGCTCAAGGAGGTAGCGTTGCATCAACACGCAACAAAAGGCGATGGAACTTCAGGGGTATCAAGAATACCGAAGAGGTGGACAAGAGTGAGCCAACTGATCGCCTGCACCTGTGGCTGTCGAAGGGTAAATCATTTGCTCAGACTTATTTTTAAGTGAATTTCAAAGGATCATCTACCATGTAATGTGCTCGAGAGAAGCAAAGCGGAGGGAGCTTTGTCGTGCACGTAAAGTGACGAAATCTTAGGCTTCTTAGAAGCTCACAAGTCAAACTCCACATGGCAGTTAATGTTCCATTGGGTCAACGAAGTTGTCCAGCTTCTGGGCAAAGTGTGACGTTCCGAAATCACCTACTGGCCACAATTATCGCTACCTTTCAAGGGGTTCTGAAGTTGTCATCATAAACTTACGCTCCTACAGCAAACGTGAAGTGCAGCATGAAAACTTCTCCGGGCAAAAGGAAGAGCTATTACGTAGCCAACGTCTCTATGTCAATGTGATGGAAAACTGCAACGCTCGAGATGGATCCTGCAAGGTCGGTGAAGTCTTCGTCGGGCCACGTTTGGCTGAAGAGCGCAATGATCTGGGGGAGAAGTTGCTGAGATATCGCAACCTGCATCATCTCTTATGTCAGTGGTGGATTCCTCGGGGCTGCGGAAAAGACACAATAATATTTCTCCGATCACATTTTCATCAATCGAAGTAATATGTCGGATATTGCGGTTGATTCGTCTTTTACACAGGGAGCAATCGTCTTTTGTTGTATGACTGCGGGTATATGCGCCTAGCGCGCATAGGCTCTAAGAAGCTCCCTGCGGTAGAAGAAGATGATCATAACGCTTGTAATCGAAGAGGTGTCATAGAGATGGGTGATCACAACACTGATTTGTGGGACCTCGTTCAAACCATAGCTGTAATCGCAGGAAGCCTCATTGTCAGCAGTGTTGCCTTGATTACAGGGTTCATCGTATCTCCGCGTCTACTAGTGCTGCACTCGAAATGAAAAGTAATATGTGCCTGAAAGAAAATAATGAAAGTACACTCTGCCAAGCAGGTTGTGTAGACAATGCATTGTTGAGGATCAGGTCAGCCCACGGGGTTTTCAAAACTCCTGGGTAATGCAGAGATAGGACAAAGTCTGAGGAGCCAAAAAGAGAAGCGCCAAGCACCGTCCTAAGAGTCCATGATTGAGAATGCAAGGTTACTGCTCCATGCTGGAAAGGAAGGGATCCTGGCGGCATCCTACCCCGTTCTGTTCAGATCCGTCTTTTCAATCGTAAGGATCTAGAGAAAGGCTGCTTTTTCTCACACTACGCCATGCGGTAAAAGTAATGCCTTTAGGTAGAACACCTCTGAAAGTTGGCATCTTTGTAGTGTCCCTGAATGCGTGCTAGCCCATTTATTGCATCAATTCCTTGCAAGGAGGTAACCTTACTGCTCGGTCGAATGGTGGTTACAACAGCATGGAAGGGCATTGACGTTGCCATGCTGTTCAAGGAAAGCAACAATGAAAATCTAACAAATTGTGCCCAATTACGCTTCTGACATTGTTTTGCGAAGGGATCTCACATTGCATACTGGAACCTATCCATAGAGTACTGAAAGCCCAGTCCAGAACAAAGCAAGTGCTTTTTTCAGAGTTCAACCACTCTCGACACCAACGTAACTTCTCGAAGTCTCATTGATGCATCTTTTGAAGTTGGCCTCTTCTTGTGGAGACGTTAATTGACTTCAAGATGTTAACTTTTCACCGGATGGAACACGAGGTATTGAAGAAATTCCAGCGGATGCGCCACGATAAGACTAGTCGTGGTGCACAGCAGTTTTCCGCTTTCCTAGAGCACATTCATAGCTACTTCACTACCGCTGTAGGCAACTTTGGTGTTATCATCGTATGGTGTGCGTCTCATTCATTTACGATATGGCAACGACACGGCATTAATCACAGGTTTTCCGAAACGTGCTTCTGGTGTTAGATGCATCGTACTTGAACCTTGTGAGCCAACTCGACATGAAAAACAGCGGAGAGTCAGTGAGATATCCGAATTTAACGATCAGACGACAACGTGAGCCGGCACCATCCAATTCTGAAGGGTTACACCAAACCTCGAAAATGTTCTGCTTCACGTCGATGAGACGAAGCACAAAGCCACAGACGAAGCATCAGACGAACACCTGATAAGATGACGGAATGTAGGTTAGCCCCTCTTTTGCTCTAGGCAGATTTTTTTCGTTTGATTCTATCGAAACAACGTCTATAATCCAGAGTGTGCTAGGACGATCGCAACCTAACAGCCTAGGGCTCAAGATAAAGGACGGAAAGTTGGGATCCACGCATGGACAAGATTCCTCTTGGATGGGTCGTTTAAGAACATAATCAAGTTCAAACGAACGTAATTGATAGGTTTTGGGACACACACACACCGGTCGATCCAAGCATCAACAGGAAAAGCTTCAGGAGGCAGGAACTGAGTCGTTAATGAAAGTTGCTTGCTGGTATTTCGCTTCATATTAGCGTTGAAATCTGATGCCTTTCCTAATTCCCCAATTTATTTCGTTTGAATTTCAATTTTATTACAGGCCCATAAAGCTCGAGCAAAATCGTAGATGCGACAAGACGAATAATTCCGATAATTATTACAAAATCGATCTAAAATGTGAGAAAGTTCGAGGAAAAAGCTCCAGAATGTAAGCCTTCAAGGGCTCCGTTGATGGCGATATTAATCATAATTGCCAACGAAATATCTATAAAAAGAAAGCGTATATAAAGCCAAGCCTCCGTACGGTTCCCTATCGTATTTGTCTCGTCATGGAACGTCTCGTGCTTATGCTTGCCCTCTTCGGGTGTGTCACCGTATGGGCGAAACCGACGGCAAAAGCCGTCCTCAAGGAGGAGGACCCAAACAAAATACGTACGTTTCCAATTCATTTAACCATTTTTTGTGATAATGTATAACAGTGTTACAGCCATGTGGCTCGACGAGGTGACACAGAGGATCATGGGAAAGTCATTTGAAGAATTGATGAAACTCAGTGCTAAGGACAGGAAGGTATGTGACCTTATTCAAAACCCCTCCCATTTTTCAGTATTCTGCATGGGTTCATAAACCTCAAACGGTTCATAGGTGCACACTAATGTTTCGCCTTCTTTTCAGGCCTTCGAAAAGCAGCAGGAGGATAAAATACCACGTTTTGTGAGAACGTTCCGTTTCTCTGATGATGCTCCCGTCCGCAAATTACTCCATGAGGTGAGTGCATGGGCAAATACTTCCTCTCACGTTTTTTGTGAAAGGGTGCCAGGATGTTCCTCTAAGACTTCCGAAGTTGAATAACTTCTATCACACGCGTGGTGCGGGATTCGAATCTTCGATCGGTGTCTGAACAGACAACATAGCCCTCTATTCTCCCAGCGTTGGACAATTTGTTCCAGAATTGTCTCGGAGGATGGGAACTAACCTGTTGTCGGTAGTTCCTCCAAATAGTCTTATAGCCTACCTACGCATCGAAACGCGTTACATTTCTGAATGAAAATCGGGTGCGAGGGCGCTCTGTTGATCTGGTTTTTCCAGAAGACTGTCCCTCATTGAAGTGGAGAAATTTTCATGACACTCCGTGAATAAGATGAAGTTGATTCACTGTATAATTCATCCGTTTTGAAATAATCTCAAAGGTTTCTGGATGTAATCGAGAGACTAGCTATCCATCTTCACTATACATCACTGTTCTTTCCTATTTTAAGCTTTAGACGGAGGTGGTGTAGCAACGGAAAAGGCTGGTGCCATAGGTATGTTGTTGGTCAAGTATCTTCTAAACATCACGAGAACCCTGAATGAAAGTGGATTTCGTAGGCGTTCATCCAGAAGGGTAAAGTCGAAAAAACCATAACTCATTACCGTTTCTAATCTCAAAAGTTCCGCAAAGCTATTTCACTAGCTCTAATTTGAATTTCTCTTCAGTTCATTTCGAGCATTGAGGCCGCGGCTAATGGCAAAGTCCAAGAAGCAGTAGTAAGGTAAATATGCGTACCATTGTGGTCGACATGCAGTTTACATTCGGCAAATGTAATTTCAGCATCGCTCACGCTTTCGACAATCTACCAAAAGACGATCGGGAAAAATTCCGCAAGCTTTTCAACATCAAAGTCGATGAAAAGAAGATCTTGAAAACAAAGTCGTAATTGGTAATTCAATAAATTTCGCATGTATCAAGACTTACTTCTGGAATTTTGACTCGACATGGCCTGAAATCGGACAAAAGTAGTTTTTCCATCGGGAACGCTTTGATTCAACAGAAGTATTCCAGTAGGCATTCCAGGGAACACCGGCGAAAAAGTTTATGCTGGCATAGAGTTGCCCTACGGTTGTAATGAGTTGGGTAAAAGCAAGGTCACTGCCGTCTGTATGATTTTTGGTACCATCGGTAGCTTCTTCGAGTAAATGACTTCTCAGTCGCGTAGGATCTGTTTCTGAATCTGTTCGGTACCGGGTGTATGTCGTTTTGCGCGATACCTCTCATCGCACCGCCCATTCGACGCGGTTTGCGAGCTGGACAACTCGTCCAGATGATCGGGCAACCCATTACCTCCAGCTGATCCGATCAGAACCCCGATCACTGACCCTGGTACTATGACCCCAAATTGCGGATCTACAAGCATTTTGTCTATCTGCACCGATTAGCATTATCAGGAGGTTGAATAGCCTGGACGAGTTGTCCGGCTAGCAAACCGCGCAGAATGGGGGACACGAAGGGAGAAATCGCGCCAAACGACCGCCTCCCTTCAGTACCGAATGTAATATTTGCTGTGCAAGATGGCGATGTGTAAAAAGAGTGTTTTGGTAGGAATTTTGTGTCCGATCACACTGATCCTACAGCTACTTGGCTATACCCGTTCTAATTCTGTAGCTGCCCTTGCAAAGCTGTAATTGGACCATTCCCGTTCCCAGATGCAAAGTCGTAAAAGCCTCCAAACAAAATCTGCATGAATACATATTTTATTCAATTTTTATGGATTAAATAAAACCAATAACATTTTGGTTATATGTCGTAACTAGGAAAATTAAAATTTAAATATTTTCTCACACTCGTTGCTAACAATATATGGAATAAATAGTCAAGGAAGCCTTTTCTCTTTTCATGCTTGTCATTCAAGCTAAAACAACAGCCCCACGGTCGNCCAAATGAGCACCGATGGATCAGCATTTCAATGAAATAGAAAATGTTACAAAAAAAGGCTATCGTGACTGAACAGTAAGAATCAGGTATCTGTCCCCTTCTGATGGAATCTTGTCGGGTACGAGTCATTTTTCATTTGAAAAACGTTGGAGAGTGGGAGGTGGGGAAACACAAGACAGCATTCACACTATTGAACAGAGATAATCTTGCATCCGCCAGTGCCATGTGGCGGTGAGCTTCCAGGGACTTGAGTTCTAGTAGGAAATATATGACAACCACGTGGATGGCGGTACTTCTCCCCAATTTTCACCGCAGGCGGCAGTACTTGCGCGGCGACTACCGTACCGAAAGTCAAACCTTTTCTTCCATAGTGCGTGACTGCGAGCTGTCGGGTGCAGCGAGCGCAAAGCGATTTTCGAGGAGGCGTACCTACACCCTAATTACTTGACTTGAGTCGAATGTTCTTACTTAGACAGTTCCTTGGTGTTGATGCTGAGCTAACGAGAATGGAAATGTTGGCTACCTTTGGATAGCGTGATCAAGGCTCCTTGAAAACTCACGAAGACATAGAACTTGTTGGTATCTTGCCATGATGCCGTACAGTTTCAAGCCGTAGCCACTACACTCCTCTGACGGTATACTCTTTCCGTTTCTATGTGGACGAGAGCCCACGGATATCGATATCTGAAAGGAAATCACAAAGAGCACGCTTCTTGCTAGAAGTATAGTCTGCCGACTTTTCCATAAAAGGTGGTGATCCGACCGGAGGGCGATAAGGTTGATGAGTGGAGTTGGATTTGGCCAACAAGCGGAAGCTGATCCGTGTCAAAATACTCTCGAAATGACTGTCGCTTCTAGATAAGGGCAAGCCCATCTGTCCGCGGATTGTAATCAACAGGCAAAAATTCGGCCGGCCCTTTAGTCGATGGTTGATAGTGCAAGGCAGTATGACATGGATCACCGCTGATGTGGTACTTTCTCTCTTCACGCTCCAGCGCACCTACCTAGGTCTTTGTGAGGAATGGATTCACCACATGAACGTACATCGGCATGCCCAATGGGTTGACAAAGATGCGAATGGCAAAGGCATTTCGAGACCCAAAGTGCATGTCGAAAAGGTTGGGCTCTGCTCTGATGGTGCCTTCACGTCATCGAATACTGGGAACTCCTCGCGATGATTGTATAGAGATCGGAAAGGTCTTCCAATTGAGCCATTTGAAGGGTAAACCCGAAACTTCTATTCCGTAGCGGCACGTAATGTACTTCCACAACGCTCGATCTCCCACTGCGAGAATGACCAAGGCTGATCTGTTGAAGTTGGGCTTCCTTCACTAATAATGGTTCCTTTTTACAGTCCTTAATGTCATCTGGATGGTCGAGAATTGCACACGATGACATAGGGAGGCACTCGAGCACTGATTCAGGTATCAGCTGCCAGCGTTCTGGAACAAGGCGACAGAACGTTCTGTCTCAACGTTGGCAGGAGACAATAGATGTGACTGGAGCTCGGTGAAGATGATTCACAGTCACCCTTCGAAACATGATGGACGTTCAATGGTCAGACACTGTCAATTTGTCCGAGCACCTTTGACTCAACCTGGTAGCTATGACAAGAAATGAAGGGTTATGTTACACCATCTATGCCTTTCTCAGGTTTCGCGATAGGTGAAAGATTTCATGAGGTTGAATTATGGCGATTGGGTTTAGATTTGAATTGAGAGTCGTAAGAATGATGACTAGAAGAAACAGCTGACGAGAGAATAAAGGGGCAATAAAATAATAAATTAAAATAGGATTTCTTCAAAGGACGGTATTGATATCGAGACAGTCTACCGCCTACATTCCTCTGATCAGACTTATTGTCCTATTTCCACGAACTTTGCTCTCAAGACAGTTTACTCGGGTCAGATTGTAACGAGGGAGCGCACTCTTCGCAGAGGCGTAGTGGACGTGCAGACGTGGCATTATCGAACGCCCCTGTCCTTTCAGTGCATTTCTCCGATGGCACGTTTTTTCCTTTTCCCTTTCACCTTTTCTGAACCCAGTGCATGAGGCTGAGTCGTGATTCACTCAGTTCAGCGCCATTTCTTGGTGGTTACACAGGCTCTGAGAAATA